ACCCCGATATTCGGATCGGGAATTCGGGATAGCGCGCTCGCAGCTGTCAAATCAAGCGATACGTAGCCCGACAAATTTAAATTTTAATCCCGTCCTTTTCTCATTGCAGTGTCTTTACTTGTGTTTGTCACGTGCAAAAACAATGTGAAAAGTGGTTGTTAAAAATTTCATAGTACCTTGTATCCTTTCTGACTATATTTATTTTTTCCCGATACAAAATGTGAGGTGTTTCCCTAAAGTGTTGAAGTGTAAAGTGATGAATATATCTGCTATGAACAGATAGTGTTTGTATTAAATCGAACGATCAAAAAGGATACATTGCGAAACGAAAATGCGGATCAAGACATTTACAGATTTTCGCCCAAATGGTAAATATGAATTCCTATAAGATTGTAGAAGACTAACATTATTGAAATTGACCATTATAATCGTATTATAACACATATACACATATTTATGGGCTGTGACGGTACTGCACAAAACCTATTGTCAATATAAATTGAACAAGGGTAGACTTGTACTTACTGCGATGACGGGCACTTGGATTCAGCCGGATGCATTTAAAATTGCATTGAATTAAGCCTTTTTTGTCTCAATTATATGTCTGATGAGTCTTAAACTGTTGTTTTATGTACGCAATGCAGCAAGTTATGAAACGTTAATATTATCAATGCCTTTAGTTGCAGTGGACACAATCTTGCCAAGCGAAAGAAACTACAATGCTTAATTACAACATTGTATTCTAAGAAACATATTATTCTGAACAATAATTAGTAATGCATGCATTATCGGAATACGTGCTTAATATTTTTTTTGTGACGTTACAATGCTCTGACATTTATTTCATTGAATCTATGACGTAAATTATTGGCCTACGGTTTTAACAAAGAATTATTTTTCAGAACTTGACGGTATTATCTAATCAGGTATTTGTTAGTGAATATAAAAGTGCTGTTTTTTTTGTACCGTTACTTTTTTTGAATATAACTGCGTTATGTAGTTACGTATAGTTTGAAATGTTTTAAATTGCGATGACGGGACAACCGTCGTTGTTCATTGGTGTAATTGAGGCGGCCGAGGCCGGGCGCTGTTTCATCACGATCATGAATGCAATAAAACTCAAATTATAGCCAACATATGGAGTCGTTATATCTAACGTTTTTTAATGTTTATGTTGATAGTATACAAAATACAAACTTTTTTGTCAACATTTTATCTATCCAATGAACATCTCGAAAGTTTTGAGGCTTGCAAATCTTTGAGCCATATGTAGTAATAATTTTTAACGTAATCACAGGAATGTGGGGCAGTGAGAGTTGGGTTGAACCATTTAGACGTTTTCTCTTAATTATTAACAATAATTTTCCTTTAATCCATAGTTGCTGAAGTTGTCATTTATTATTTCATTTCCTAACGATTCCTTAGTGTTAAGTTGAACTAAGTTTCAACGAAGTAAAAGTCAAGTTTACGTATTTCATGAGGTTAAAGCAAAAACGCTAACGGATGGTTAAAGATAGCTGGGAAACCGGCCAGAAATTATTTTGTAGGATTGTTAATTGAAAGCCTGAGAATAGAAATCATTATTTCGTCGCACGATCGTATTGATCAACAATAATTACTTAATGAACGGTTGTTTGAAGGGCGCTTGCTTAACTTATCCGATTGTAGCTGTCTATTGTACAGTTTACCTTCGAAGTTTTTCTTAAGATTTTTTAATCCCTTTCTTAAATATTAAATGTAATTTTCATATCTCTTATCGATAACACGAGCGGAACGTTCATCTGATACAAAATATTTTAGTACGAAAATATCAAAATCGAAATCCGGCACATCGACACTTTCATTCGGTGCCATGAGAAATAAAATTTTTATCAAAGGAAGATAACTCAATTTAGGTTTTTTAAAGAAGAGAAGCGAAAAAGGCGCTCACCACTTTACGTTTAAGGGTATTCATTTTATTTAATCTGGTTGATAATAAAATATTAATAATTAAGTTAGGAACTAGTTATCATATTATCATACTTCATACTACTCGTAATATTATAAATGCGAAAGTTTAAATGGATGGATGGATGTTTGTTAGAGTTTGTAGCCTAAACGGCTGAACGATTTTCTATGAAATTTGGTACAGATGTAGACGATAGTCTGGAAGAACACATAGGCCATTGACTTTTGTTTTTTTTTTAATTCCACGGGGACGGAGTCGCGGGAAAAAGCTAGTTATTGATAATAATTAGCAATTATCTGTATATTTCCTTTTTCATTTTATGTTATATTAATGTCGAAATGTGTATTCAATCATACACAAAAGTCACGGCGGTTAAATTTCTTTTGAATGCAAATTTTTTAATCATTTATATGCTAATGTAATACTTTTGTAATTCTAATATAGATTGTTAAGAAAGTCTTTGAATTATTCAAATCTCAGCTATTGATTGAAAAGATTTTATTAATAAAATTGTAGTTTAAAGCGATCGTATTGAATCGACGTGCGATTCCACTTTAACACAAACAATTACACGGTCAAATTAGACAAGTGAAATTACCAGTTAATAATATGTGAAGCTTATTTTTTTAATTTAGTGCATCTACACATCTTGGCCTTATCGTTGTGATTTTATATCAATTTTACGAGGACGTAAACGGGTTGACGACAGTGACTCACGTTGACTCAGATAAATCGAGTTGCTGTACATATGTATGAAAACACACGAAGTAAATAAGAAAATAATGCTCTTAAAGATTTGTGGTAACTAGAATTTATCTAGTTAATGTATTGAGTATATAATGACTATAGTATTAACAATGTAAACAGTAAACTTTGTAAATGTTTCTACAAAATCGCTTTAGTAAAGTTTGTTATTCACCCAAGGGACGCGATTACCCTTTTACTGTACATAATATATTTTGACTAGTTGCCAGTAACTTCAACAGCATGCACGTAAGGTTCTAGTAATGTTCTTTTATTATATTGCACGTATTTATTTCGCTATCCAGAGTTATTTTTCAGCGTTATTCGCACTTTTTATTTTTAGTTATCTGTGTCGACGTCAATTTGTTTTAATAATTGTGTACCTGTATGTGTTCGTATTAATCTATACTTCTATACTAATATATAAGAGGAAAGATTTGTATTTTTGTATGTGTTAAAATAATGCAAAAACTAATGGGTCGATCTCAAAAATTATATTATATTAAACATAGGTTATATTTCTTATTTTTTAATTTTACGCGGGCGTAGTCGCGAGCAACAGCCAGTATTAAAATGTTTTAAATGTACAGTGAGAGGATGATGGTGCATGTATTTAAAATATGGCCGTTGATACGTTAAACAAGGTATTGTAACAGTGGAAGGAAGTGTATGTTAAAATCCTAGAAGCATTGATATCGCAGACGGTTTATGATTTACTTAACGGCCGTATCCATTGTTCGTACTTAACGAACGTAGTTTGTTGAAAACTTATTGCAGTCTATTGTTATTCTTACACAATAGCTGTGCAAGGTGGCTCGGGTATCGCCTCATTTGTAACAGATTATTTCTTATTCCACACTAATCTCTTTAGTCGTTTTGTAAGTGGTTTTAAATGTTGCTTTCAAGTGCATGGTTATACTATGTGTGCTATTTGTACTGCATCAGAACAATTAGAATCATTTACACGACCTTATTACATTTTTACACTATCTGTTTTTATATTGTAAGTTCAGATAAACTCAATGAAGTGCTTATTGCATATCTATATATTTATATCCATACTAAAAAAAGAGGAAAGATTTGTATTTTTGTATTTTTATATATTTGTATGTATTGAAATAACTCGACTACTGGGCCGATTTTAAAAATTCTTTCACCGTTAGAAAGGTAATTTATCTGTGAGCAATTTTACGGGGGCGAAGTCGCGAGCAACGGCTAGTCATAAAATATAATAAATGATGTATTCAATATATTTCTCAAAACTAACCTAAATAACCATTAAAATCTTAAATTAAGTCCATTCATGAGATTCTCTTTTAATCTTGTTAGCAAAGTGAAGAATTTAGTCTTGAATTTATATGTATAGTACGTACTACGTAAGTACGGTCTTCGTGCAAAGCTACCCTTGACAGTTCCCCTTGTCGCAGTGGCAGGGGAGCGCTCGACCAATCGATTTTACCCTCGCCTTCCGTACCGTGCTTGCATTTGCAGACATAAATATCGACTCAGACACTAACGTGAAAAGAAGCAAAATTTTGGCAAATACCTTAAGACGTGAAGGCTGCCAAATCGATATCGATTAGTAAAAAAATTATGCCAAAACTAGTTTTTGTCGCGATTTCGCCCGCGTGAAATTAAAATAAAAGCCTTAAATGAAAATTGTTTATTTTACTCACTGATAACGTAGCTTTTTAATGGTGAAAATTTTGCCCAGTAGTTTCTGATTTATCTGAATATCGACATACAAAAATACAAATCTTTTCTCTTTATAATATTAGCATAGAAAAGAAAGCGTATTGGATAGATTTTTTATAATAACCGAAATGTATGTCTAGACTTTAGGATGTTTGTTCATTGTTATTACACATTGTTTCATAGAAATTATATTTCTTGCAATTAATCCAAAATTTAATGTTTAGCGTAGAGAAAATAGTCATTATCTTCCGTGTTGATTAAGTTAGAGGCTTCATTAATGCAGTTCGCACAGCTTGAAGTGCTAATTGTGCTTTGTGAAGTTAGTTGATATCTTCCGCTTAGTTTTGACTGCGTATTGTTTGTAGTTTTATTACAATCTTCTAATCTACTGTGTATTCATAATATTTGCTGTTGTCTTTTATAAATTTAACTGTTTTTTCTTTAAACTAAAAATGAAAATGTCCAACGTAATCATATAAGAATCTTATATCTATAGATTTTATGTTAACTTGAATATTCAGTTTTTTGAAACATCATTTCCTGTTTAGTTAAGAAATTTTAGTACTGTTTTATTTCCAATGTAAATGTGTTTATGTAGTTTATGTAGTGTTATTCGAGAAGCAAGTAAGCATACTATTGTCGGTACAGTAAAGGCTGACTAATGTTTGCTGAATTTAGTAGTAGGGAAAGTGGTTCCTTATATCCGCGTTCGACTGAGGTACACTTTTGTATTGTGTAATGTTTTATTTGCAATGAGCTCCGGACCATCATTCATACGATTTAATATTACATAACTTCCTGGACACCTTTAACGAAATGTTTTATCTTTTATCGGTCACCATATACAGAAAGAGAGAAATCGTAATAAATAATTGTATATGCTGTCATTCTAATCTTGGACTTAAATGGTCAACTGAACTTGTTTTATTTGTGTAGTTTATTTTGAAAATCAATTTTAATATAGCTTTGTTAGTAAAACTT